CATCAGACGCGCACGCTCACAATATCTCCTGGTTTTTACTTGTGAATTCAGTTCACTGGAGACTCGCACTAAACGGTTCATTTGAATCAGTGAGTTGTCGACTCGAGAACAGCTGCAGTCGGATCATTCCAATTCGTGAATGAATCGTTTGGTGCGATTTGCGAACCGATTTAACGGGTTCAATGAAAAGAATCAGTTCGTTCATGAATCAGACACCGCTTCTGCGTCTCGGAGCACGTGATGTATTATAAGGAGTAACGATATGTTTTATGATATGTAGTGAAGTAAAAAGTAGGCCTACGATCTTATGCTTTGGAATGTAGTGAAGTAAAAGTAAAAGTTACTCAAAATAAAACTACTCCAGACAGTAAAGTACAGATACTTGAAAAATGTACTTAAGTACAGTAACAAAGTAAAACTACTTCGTTTCTGTCCACCACTGCATTCAGGCATTTTCTCTATAATTTGATATTTACAGCAGTAATATTTGGTATAAAGTTTAGATAATAAGCTAAAATGTTTACAAAACTTTTTTTCTGAATGAGATGTGTCACATTCATTTTATGTAGAAGTCAGAATAATACAGAGTATGTTTGAACTAATGTCTTTGATTGGATATGAGCTGTGGTTTGCCTGTATAATAACTTACGATATTACTCATCCAATTCAATAGTGTTAAGTCTGAGTTACTCATTTTATAAACATATATTTGTTGCCAATAAAATAATTTGAAGAGAATATGTGTGATATGTTGGTTTTTGGTGGAAGTTGTCAATTATGGGAGAGGCCTTCCACAGCTCATTAACAAAGGTCAGACTCAGGTAATATGGAGCTTTCCAGGGTGCTGTCCATCAGAGCCCAGATACTAATGCTGGTGCTGTCCATGGTGCTGTGTGCAGGAACAAAGACTTAAAGACAGAGATTAACGAAAGGGATTAATTAAATATGTATCTAAAGGTAATGCATAAGCAAAAAGACTGAATCTAGATTTCTTTAATTCTAAGAAAGCAAGAAAAACAGTACACCAAGACTCCATGACTCAAGAGTTTCATTAATTATATACTTAAGGCAGGATCTGATGTCGAGTACAGCTTATAAAACTCGTCACAATGGCAGGATGTCTTTTTGTGCTTGTGAAGTGATTTGCATATCACTGCGTTGTGTCTGCACAGATGGGCAACTTTAAAGGGATGTTACTCTGATCCTCTGTTGTGAAGTTGATAGGTTTCTTTCTGTGAAAGATAAATAATACAGCAAATTATTGTGAATTTAAAAAGGAGTAAAAGAAAAACAGACAAACATAATAACAACGGAGGTTTTATGTCAGGATTGTAAGCTGATGTTTCCAAAAAGAATACAATAATTCAAGATCTTTTCTTGTATTTTGTGACATTTATTCTTGTACCTCATCTCTTCAATATCTTCTATGGTTTCTGGCAATCTTTCGTTGTTGGTTTCAGGGAGAAGCCAAGCGATGAGACCAGAAAAGATGGCCACCGTGCAGAAAATGACCTCTGGGAGGAGCTTCCACGTGTCTTCTAAGAGCATGATAAGAGGAGAAATGGATGCTCCCAAACGAGCCATAAAACTGGCGTAGCCAACTCCATTCTGCCTATAGATGTGGAGGAGAGAGAACGGAAGCATTTTCAAAACTGAGTGAGCTTAATAATTGAAAAGGAACATGGCAGACACTAACCTCATGACTGTTGGATAGAGCTCAGTGGTGTATAAGAACACAGTTGTAAACGAAGCCTCTGAAAGTCCTTTACCCAACACTGCGATCACAGTGCGAAACATCCAGTATTCTAAACCCATAGAAACATTCACACAGAAATACAGCATTAATATTAGCATGAATTGCATAGGTCCAACAACATTTTGTTATTGGTTTTCAGTGATGGACAAACATTCCATGTTGGCATCTGTTGATTTGGCTAGTTTCCGTGATTTGCATCAAAATGAATAGAATTTGATTGGCTGTATGGCTTCAAAAAACATGGAAAGTGCTCTCTCACCAATTTTAAAAGCTGATGAACATATGCATTTTTCTATCCTACTTATGCAAATTATATGGTAATTTGCATTTTTACAATTTTAGCATTGTTTTTCCTGCTGGCCTTGACCCTGTCAGAATCATTATGGTAAATCTGTTTTTCGGTTGAGAACCACTGATTTAAAGTGCACTTGAAACTAAAGGGCTGCTTTGTTAGAAATTGAAATGACACATTTGATCTACAAACCTGTAGGTGTGATGATGTTAATGAGTATGCAGAATCCTGTGAGCACCAGTGTCCCGGTCTGAGTGATTCTACGGCCGACCTTATTGAGACTAAAGTAGATGAGGATTTTCGCTGGCACTTCTATGGCTGCATAAATGAAGTGTGTCAGGTAAAGGTCAAGCCCAAAGCTGGTGATGTTTAAGCTGATGCCGTAGTATGTAGAAGCAACTCCATACCTACAAATAGGGGAAGTGAAAGTAGGTTCTTTGCTTTCACATATTCAGAGGCACTTTCTTTGAATATAAAATGCTTAAATTAGAACACACAAAAACCTACCACACTACGCCGGTGAAAAGTGTGAGTCTCCTCAGCTGTGGGGTTTTGAACAGGTCCAAGTAAGTGTAACTGTGACCCTGCTGTTCCACAGTCATTACAGTGGACAAAGCCTTTGATGGAAACAGAAAGAACGGTGTTTTAAACCCTTGTTGAAATTGAGTCCTTTGCAAATATTTAAAAGATGTCAAATGAGACCGTTTACCTCTAGTTTAACTCTAGATGTAAAGTCTCGTCTTTTGTTAAAAGTAGCACATTTTTGCAGATACTTGTATGCTGTTTCTGCCTTTCCATTTGCTATTAGCCACCGCGCTGATTCAGGGATCCACCTATGAAAGTATTAAACAATCATTTTTTCTTCACAATAGAATAAGGTTGAAATTATTCATTTTAAATCATAAGCCAAACCAACCAGCTCTGAAATTACAAACTTTTTATTACAAACTTTGATTTGAGGCAAAGCAAAGAAAATGGAGAATGAAGTGGTGTAAATGATATGATTAAATCATGATGGAACAGTTTATTAATAGTAAAAATGATTAGTGTTGTCGTTCACAATGGTATTGACACCTCTTGTTAATAAAGAACAGAAATATATATGATATAACCAGATGACGGAAGGTACAAAGGCTCTTTTAGGTCATTTAGGACAAAGGGCATTTGCAGGAGCTCATGGATGAAGTCGGTACTACTTTTATTATTGTTGAATTTACTGATTGTGAGAGGAACAAAAAAAAAAAAAAGAAGAACTTTCCAGCTGAGAAAAAAACATGACATGACCTTACAAACAGGCCTGACTGTGAGGAAGACTCAGGACTCTCATAAACAAACAATTTTTATAAAAACAATAATGGTATTTCCTTACCACCAAATGGCTGTAGCAAGAAGAAGAGGAGAAGTGACAGTAATAATCAGCATTCTCCAATCAGTGACCAGATAGGCAAAACCGGCCAGCAGCATGTTGCCTAAACTCCAGGAAATACTGCCGAACACACCGATAAATGTACGGTGTTTAGTGTCCACCCACTCAATACCTGCAGAACAGATCACATTTAATCATTAAAGATCAGAAACATAACAAAAATGTTTCACAAAACATTTACAAAAGATTTTAAAAATCTACAAACATAAACGCATTCTACACGGTTTCCTTTTTCCAGAAGAGAAAAGGGTAAGATAATGTTCTTTAATAAAACTATTTTTAGTACTTAATATTTAACTTTTAGAAAACTGCAACTTTGTAATTCAACTTTTTACCTTTTTATATAGTGCTTTTTACAATACAGATGGTTTCCCAGTAACAAAGAGGAAAGTAACAGAATCAGTCATGCAAATTTGAGAATAATTCAAATACAAGCTCTAAAAAGACAACAGTGTCATTACTGACGGTGACCGTGATTTCACCAAGTACAACATGTTCCTGGATCAACATCCTTGTTGATCCTGGAACAACATTCCAATTAACCAATCAGAATTGAGGGATAACTTCTCAGGAAATATCTGTTTTAGGCTTATGATCAGGATTAGGTGCTTCTACACCCTTGGTAATCAGCTATCATTTCACACTGATTTTAGGAATAAATTATGGGTAAGGTTAGGTTTAGGGGCAGGGATTGGGTTTAGTCTATATTTTTGGACAGTAATGTTGATCCAGGAACATGTCTAACTTGGCAAAATCACGGCGACCCATTACTGACAGTGTTCAGTGTTGATTCAGTTCAGTTCAATAACTATGTAAAGTTAATCTATTATGAAACTAATTCAGCTATAAGCAGCTCTACACAAGACAATAGCGTCATTATTCAGCTCAGTTCAGTTCAAGTTTTGTTCTCATCTGATAGCGTCAGTGCGGTCAAATGACCATAACTGACTGTAATTGGTAAATTGTTGAGACTGGACAAATGACTCAAAGTCTCTCAGTCTTGGATAAAGGATAAAGGCAGTTAAGTTTCAAGGAAAGACTTACTGAGAACAAATGATATGTTGATGATCCCCGTCAGTGCGAATCCGGTCAGGAAGCGGAAGGCAGCAAACATGATGTAGTTGCTTGAGAAAGCACTAACAACACTGAACACTATAGATGACACATAAGACACCAGCAGCATACTTCTACGACCATACCTGAACAACAACACACAGATGAACAAAGAGCATGCAGAACATCAATACTGCATTCATGATAAGATTATGTTTCATTGAACTCTCTCTCTGTAATACACTCTCTCACTATGTACACTTTTAAAGTACACATAGGCCTATGTACCTTTAAGATACAAATATATAGTATTTTGGGGTAAATAAGGTACAAAGATAAACCTTTTAGATTTTGTACCTTAGGATACCACCCGACTGAGAACTTCAGTCTTAAAAGTCTAAACGTTTCTAAAGGGAGGTTTTACTTGTCACAGAGCACTCCAAAGAACACAGCTCCAGCCATGACGCCAACAAAAAATATGGTTGCTGATGCTTTGGCCAGTCCCCTCTTCTCACAAACTAAATCAAACTGATAGAAAATAAAGAGAGAGAAACAGGAAAAAGTGTGAGTGGTGAGAGAGCTGAGAAGGACCTACAGGATACACAGTCACTGGACTTTACCTGTGTGGCGAGAGTGCTGATGAACGTGCTGTTGTCATACTCCCATCCATTCTGGCACTGGACTACAGCAACCTCTGAGGGGCTGGAGAAGTTTGACAGCAGGTGGAATTGAGGATAAGAGAACATGTGACAGGAAGCAGGAGTCCCATCATCCTGCACTGGAATACTGACAGTCAGTCTCTCCTCCTGAGTCAGATTTCCAAAGATTCCCTCAGAGCCCAGAGAGCTGATGTTACAATGGTGAGATGGGATGGCGGCTATAAAGTTGTTCAGCAGGAAGTGACATGGGATTGGGATGCGAGGTATATACATCAGCAAGACCAGTGCAATCTGGTATCGCCCAAACCCATCTGTCTCTTCCAGAATGCTCTCAAACTTCATTGTCACCTGGAATGTCACAGACAATAAAACCTCAATGTTATATAATTGATATAAAGTGATTTGATGAAATTTACAAAAGTTTGGGGTCAGTATGATTTTTTAAAGAAATTTATGTTTTTCAGCAAGCAAAGTGATCAAAAGTGACAGTAAAGACTTTCAAAATGTTACAAAAGCTTTTTATTTCAAATAAGTGCTGTTCTTTTGAACTTTGAATTGATAAATCAATTAGGAAATGGTTGAAACCATCTGTGATGCAAATCAGACCTTTTCAATGATGTAATAGGGCCTTGTATTAAGCTCTCTGAAAACTTTGTGAACTCTTTTTAAGTCCATTCGTTCACCCTACATTAGCCTCATAGCAGGCAATGGACCGCAGGGGGTACAGCACTCTGTTTGAACGCTGTGCACAGCTGTGAAGACACACACCAGCTGGACTCAATCGCAAAAGGACACAACCCGTCTTAATGCATTTCATTACAGTTTGGAATGATATTTGCCTGATGGAAATGATTTCATTTTCTTTATAAATAATGGTGGACACTTTAAATATATTCGTTTTTATTTTTTATTTCATTTTCACTTGCTTCTTTTTCCTACCATAAATAACCTCAAATGAATCAACACTTTATTCAGCTTCCAGTCAAGTCATTCATTCAGTAGTAAAAATAAAAAAGTAACTCAAAAACAGTGATCATGCTGATTAAAATAAATGTATTTTATGTCAGTTTCTTTTTGCGCTGTTAGTAGCGCAATTCAAACAAAGTTTTTAAAAAAAATCCAAGAATGAAAAGACACTCACCTCTGCAGCTTGATTATTAAAGTGTGCGGATGATCTTTGTAGAGTGCCGTGATGGTAAAGAACTTCAACAAGCAAAGTCAAAGATAGACAGACGGTTATCGAAAGCTATGAATGACCAGTACTTCATAAATAAAGGCTAAATGAAGCCCCTCCCCAAACACCCTTCATCTTTCCTCCCTCTCTGCCTCCTTCAGCCATAGAGAAAGATGCTGTTTTTGACTGTTGAGTAACATTATTTCTGTCAGTTCATGCACTTCTGCTTTGCTGTCCATTTTTTAACATGTACTGTACAGTACATGTCTCTCATGCTACTATACTGTCATGATAACAATAACAAGCAGAATTAGAGTTTAGCATCAGAGCTCTTGCTGTACAATCCTCACCCTTACATTTCACCATGGGGATTCGCTGTAGAAACCCTTCACACTAAAATCCCAATCAGAATAATCAGACAGGGGTATGATGACGAGCAGTTAATTTGCAATCACTGTAATGGCAACTGACAGGTATTATACAATCAAATTATTACACAAAACCAGTTCAGCAACATGAACTGACCAATTAAAGAATCAGTGATCCCACTAGCTCAGCATGTTTTACTTTGCATAATACCTGTTTATCTCAGTCCTCAATTAATCTGAATCATGCAGATAGAACCCAAACCTGTAGAGGCAAGATTAGACAAAGGTTTTTTTTTATGGCCCAATCCTATCTTGGCAACTTTTTGTGCTGGAATAAGTTGTTCTGTACAAAGATTAGACTTTAACAAATCAGCATATTAGAATGGGTTCTGAAGGATCATGAGAGATTGAATACTGAGGAATGATTGCTAAAAATTCAGTTTTGCCATCACAGGAATAAATTGCATCTTAAAAGATATTAAAATAGTAAACGGCTACTGTTTTAACAGCATTTCAGATCAAAAACTGGATTTTTTTGGAACATTTTAGAACATTTTAAAATCTTACCAACCCCAAACTTTTGAACTGTAGTACATTTCTAGAACCAGCTATTGCATTCCCACCATTATTAATGACCTTTAGGGTCACATGGGTAACAGAAACATCCAATTGTATCCCCCAAGTTATCCCAAAACTAGTCTGAAGGAATCTAAGATCTATGATAAGGTCATTACATAGTGTTCTATAGCTTCTCTGTTATTGCTCCATTTTTATGCAGATGATACTTAATTCATCTCACTTACACCACAACCAGGACATGCGGATTCCCTATGCAGAACATCCACTGAGTTTTTCTGGAAAGAATGACACAAACCATCAACCGAAAACAGTGATGGAACTTGCGTTTATTGAATGGCATCATTGATAATTTGCAATCATTTTTAATTGTATAATTCAGAAAGGTTTCTCCTTAGTATAAGTTAGTCAATCGGGATTCATGAAACACATTCATGCAAATTCTCTCTATCTCAAAGCAACACACTGAAGAGAGATGACCAGGAGGAGACGTCTTTCCTCATATCTTGTCGGTATTAAGAGCAGAGAGAGTCTTCTGGGTTCTCTGCAGATGGAACATTCTGGAATATACCGCAGAGTACTTTCCTGTTATTTCATCCAAACAACAGCATGCAATGGTTCTGCAGTGTGCATGGTCCAAATGAAGCGCTTCCTTTAAGATAACTCACAAACAACACTGGCTAGTGTGCACTAGGACATTTTTCTCTTCCGTTGATGTGACAATCTTCATGGATGTTCGGGTTTTAATCCAAGCACAGGACGGAAAAGAACACCAATGACAAGAGCAGGCATGAAGAAACACTCTTTGATAGCACCTTAGTCATTTAAACTCCACAGCCTCTGAACACATGCTGTGGACACTCAGGAGTAGCAGTACTGCATAAAAATAACATCCTAGAGCACATTTACAAACCCCACACATGCTGCTTCAACTCACATTATTGGTTCCTGCTGCTTTATCCTCCTTGGTGTGTCAGATTTTTGAGAAGCTTTCATGTTCACTACGACCTTCATTCAGCTTCCTCAAGTGTTCTTTGAACTGTAAAGTTTGCATACAGATCAGAATGGTGCATTTTCAGCCTGAGACTGAGACAAATGCAACTAAGTTAGTCTTATTTTCATCCATTAATGTTTTTTGGAACAAAAATATAACTTTATTTTTTTTCCCAAAAGTACTGCTTACATTATCTACAGTTTTGCAAAAGACAATAAACAGAAGCGGACGAGCATTTCCAAATGCATGCCGCTGGTCCGGGATCCGGTTACAAATAAATTTAGCAGACGAGTGTCACGGATGGATTGACCCAATCAGAGATAGTAGGCGGGGCCAAGATGATTGTATGATTGACATCAAACTGTAGCAGCAAGGTTAGTCACTTTAGTTCTGTGTAGAGATTCAATTTAGAATATTGTTTCTGCATCTTCTGCACAGAACCACCACGTTTTTGTGCATATGACTATTATTATTTTTTATTTGAGATAAATACAAATTTTAGCACACACAAATTGACTGCAGAAGTTGATATAAAATCTGTCCCAAACACCAGCTAGTTGAGTAATAAGTGCATTTGGGACTTTTTAAACATTTTAGGTTTTTGTGAGTTTCTATAAAGCTATTTTCTTCCAGATTCTGATATTGTGATGTTGGTCAAAAACTTACATTTTGGAAGTGATATTCAATTATAATAAATAGCATGTACTGTAATTAGGGCTGGACAATAATTCAATATCAATATGTATCGCGATATAATTTTTTTCAATAACGGTGATATGATATGTGGTTGTATTATTGAACATGATAGTGGCGTTGACAGGAGGGTAGAGCCTGTGGAAGCTTTGTTGTGACGGCAGCAATTATTATTTTAAGGCATATGAGGTGTGTTCATCTGTCCAACACACTTCATTAATGACAACTCGCCCGCACACACACTGTGTGTGTGTGTATAAATGTCAGAGGTTCTCCTCATTAGAGGTATTTCGTAGCTGCTGCAGTCACTTGGCTGAATAACGAACACATCCATCCATATTGTTTGGTTGAGTTTGTTGTGTTTAATGAGACGTACAGTCCAACACTGATGATTCAGAGAGTGATTGTGATGATGATGATGATGATGATGCTGATCACCTGAAGATCACCTGAAGGAATGAAGTCTTAATTATCTTGTTTTAGTCTTTGACTCCAGTGGATCTTTCTTTGCCTTTTGCGATGAGGCTGATGGGTGGGTTTTGCTCTTTTTGGGGGTGGAATCCTGAGGTTTGGATTTGGACTGCGGTGGGCAAGGAGGTTTGGGCTGTCGTTGCGTTTCATTGGCTGCAGGCTGTCGGCGAATGCGCTGAGGCGAAGGGCTGTCGGTGCGAGAGGTGGCGTAGCTCCGAGGGGAAGTGCTGATGCTTCGGGTGGCATTAACAACTGAGGTACGAGTAACGGTATGTGTGGCGGTCCGACTTCCCTGTGATTGGGAAGGGCCTGAAGATGGAGGACGGGGTGGAAGTGTTTGAGAGGGACGGAGCTGAGGTTTAGCCGGCTGCTGATGGATATTTGTGTGCAGACTTGCAGACTTTTGAATCCTGGGATTGACAGAACTGTTGGTTCTGTTGGCGAGAGGAAAGAATGAGTCATATCAATCAAAGGTATTATAGGATAGTCTGCAGAATTTTCTTTATATAGTTTGTCAGTAATGGTGCCAAGCAAAATCTGAGGTAGACCATTCAATATTCACAATTTTACAGCAAGACAATTTTATGATGAACACCCAAATATTCACCATATGTCACTTGAACTAAAAACAAAATTTATATGGTTCAGTGCTCTTATCAAATCACAAAAGGCTGCGATTGAATTCAATAATGATAGAGTCTGTTGCTGCATGTTTCAGAGTGAAGTGCAGCACTGTGTTTATTTACACACAAGGGCCTTATGATATTTTCAGTATCTCAAAATGAAGCGGTTAACAGAAAATGTGGCACACTCTATCTTTGCATGTGCTGTGGGTTTAACATGCATTTAGGAATGCTATGTGCGCTTTATTTTCACTTTCACATAATTTTGTGGACAGGTGATTACAGCATTTTACTAGATTTGTAATGGGAATCGTTTGTAAACCTGTTGTCACAGAAATGTAAAGGTCAGAATATACAAGTTTATGGGTTTAATTCATGCAAGTGAAGAAATTAAAATATAAATATTATTATTAAATGTTACTTTTTTATTTTACAGTGCAGTTGTATTACAATAGTAATGTATTTCTGTTGTAGAGATATTAATATCAAGAACAAGAATATTAATAATAATATATTATTATTATTATTTAAACTGTTTGGCTTTCTAAAAACATAATAAATATAGATATATAAATGTAAATAAAAAACTATAAATAAAAAACTAAATTCAGTGTGTCCAAACTTTGACTGGTAGTGTAGATTCAAACGAATAACATTTAAGTTGAAATTCTGCTCCACCCACCTATATTGAATGAAAGACACAGATCTCTGGGTTTGTGGAAGGGTCGTGCCGCCCAGTTGGTCGGATGACCCCATGATAGGTGTGACTGGACGAGGGATTCTGCTCCTAATTTTCCCATCTGCTCCTCTCTCTCCTCTCGCCGAGTCATCTGATTGGTGGGTTTCATCTTCAGATGCAGTGGTTGAGAGTGTCGGGGAGTGCGAGGAGGTGGAGCGAGAGCGAATCAGGTGGGTTTGTTTGCGCTCCAGGACAAGACGAGCCAGCTGTTGTTGTCGGCTTTTGCGAGTTCGCTGAAACTGCTCTTGACTCGTCTGCGACGACTTGTCTGAGCCCGTTTCCTCTTCTGACATAAGCACAGGGATACGGCTCCGCCTCTGTGGGAGTGGCTTTCTATCAGGTGACTCCGCCTCCGGTGGAGACATATCCTTCTCATCCTCCACCTCTGCATCTCTGTTTTGTTCAGGTGTTAGTGATGGACACTCTTCCTGCTCCTGTTCCTTTTGCTGGTCTACTTCTGGTGGGACACCCTCTGGTCTGACTTCCAGTTTGGCTTCTTTGGAGACTTCTTCCTCAATAACTGTAGTCTCTGGCTGGTCATGTGACTCGGCTAAAAACAAAGCCTCTGCTTCGTCTCTGTTACTCTTCTTTACTTTTTCTTCAGCTTCACTCTCATCCTTTTCCCCCTCATCCTCGCCTCTTTCTAATGTAATCCCCTCACTTTCCTTTTGCTCTCGTTCACTGACCCTTTCTCTCTCCTCTTTCTTTCCACCCGTCTCCTCACGCTCAGTAGAAATCATCTCATCCAGTCCAGGACGACGGTGTCTGGCTGTCATGACATTGAGATGCGTCGTCTCAGCGATGTGGATGAAAGTGCGTTCCACCTTGGTGAACGGCGGCGAGGAAGAGCCGCTGGTGATCACAGCTGCAGATGTCATGACAATAGGCCTGGGCTCCAACCTAAAGATAGAGGAAAGAGTACCGGGTTCGGATTCATCCGGCACGGGTCGCTCGCCCTGCGGTGTCAATGCGGCGAGAGTTCCCTGCCCGTCACCAGGCGAAACCTGCCCATTACCAGCAGACACAAGCACCAGTGTGCGTGAGCCCTCTTCCTGGTCGTGGTCCCGGTGGGCTGGGGCGAGTAGGGTGGATGCAGCGCCCTCTGGACTTCCCTCACTACTGCGAGGGCTTCCATCACTGCCTGAGCCTCCAGTCTTCACACCCTCCTCTCTCAGATCGTCAAACATCAACACACCAGACACAAAGTCGACTTGCTTCAGACGCGTCTGAGAGATCGAAGGCGAAGGTTCAGCCACTGCAGCCTCCTGTAGCAATGCAAGAAAAAAAAATTGTGAATTAATGGTGAAAGAGTTGGAGATGTTAAACTAAATTTGTTCTGTGAACTTTCATATAAAAACCAGCACAGCATGGGTTAATTTTTTTAAAATGAAGTTAAAGTAACTTTAATATACTATACTATATATACTACTTTTATAAGCAATATATATATATATATATATATATATATATTAGGGCTGTCAGTATGCTATTTTTGTGTTAAATGAGAAATTAAGTAGACATTACAAATAGTATCTTTAGAAAGAAATATTTTATTTGATTCAACATAAAATTTATTACACATAAACGTTTAGGCTACAACGGCCTAACAAACTATGGAACATAAAAGAAGGTAATTTGAGAATTTTCTCGGTTCATGCAATGGAAGTCATTGGTAACCAAAACAGCTTTGTTACTAACAGTCTTCAAAATACCTTCTTTTATGTTGCACAAAAAAAGTAAGGCATTCAGGTTTGAGCAAATGGTTACATGATTCATTTTTTTTTTGTGGGTGAACTATTCCTTTAATTAAAAAAAATAAAAAATGAAATAATACTCTATATAGGAAACTAAAACTGCCAGCAGGTGGCGGTAAATGTCTTCATGAGTCATTTATTCATTCATTCGATTCATTCAAACGACTGATTCATTCATGAATGAAGTAAATGGCTCTCTTTATGAATGGGCCTTTGAATCGTTGGCCCGATTACAGGTCTGGGCCAGTGCGTTAATAATATTAATATATAAATTACTATTAATATATAAAATAAAATAAAAAATATATATATATACATATTTATACTTTTTATATATTGTATTATATATAAAAACGTATATATGTATCATAATCATAAGTTAGTCATAAGTTTAAAAATTTTTTTTATGGCTACACAACAAGACTTCGAAAGGAATTATTAAAAAAAAAAAAAATCCCAATTGTGAGAGAAGAGTCCACTCTTTAATAATTTTTCAGATTATTTACTTGTGATTTGGTTGTATACAAGCTTTGCAGGATTGTCTTTTTAGAATGACATACATGGTTAAAAAGGCACCAAAGTCCATTTTACAGTGTAATATTTTTTACCAAACGACTGATTCATTCATGAATGAAGTAAATGGCTCTCTTTATGAATGGGCCTTTGAATCGTTGGCCCGATTACAGGTCTGGGCCAGTGCGTTAACTGCGTTAAAATATTTTAATCTCGTTATTTTTTCATAACTAATTAATTAAGTTAACGCGTTAAACTGACAGCCCTAATATATATACACACAAAGTCCATTTTACAGTGTAATATTTTTTACAGTTTTTTTTTTTTTAAATGATTTAGCCCATTTGTGATTTCAAGTGTAGACTCAAAGACAGTGCTCAGCCAACAGTATGTACAGCAGGGGACACACAGAGCGATGAGAAAGAGGAATGTGTTAGTACAGGAGCATGTTCAGCTATCTGTCCAGAGTTACAATTTTACAAAAGCCTAAAATACATGCCTGTACATATTACAAGTCTACTATACAGTCCCTATAGTGTTTATTGCACTAGCTATTTTGTGAAAGACTCTTGCTGTTGAAGGTTGACCCTGATTCACACATGTAATGCTTCTATGAGCAGGTCTGGGATCAGCTGATGAGTAACTTTTTTTAGCAATAAAAAGTTCAGCGTATGATATAAATTTTGATTCATAAAATTGATTAAAATTGATTCATAACAATACTGATCTGTGAGAAGCCACCTACATGGTTTTAGGTTTTTCTCAATACATTATTAAATACATAAAAGAATACAAATTAACTTTTTTTTCTATACAAACAGATGTTGCTAAACGCTGTTGTACATTGCTCAGAGCTCAAGGTTTTTCTCTGGGGAGTTTTGACAAGCTCAAGTTTGACCCAGTTAGAGACAGAGAATGTGAGAGGTCATGAATGTTCAATTGCATGAAGCTGACAAGCCGTTCAGCTTGAGTGAATATTGAAATTAGCATAAAATATGGTACTACATGGAACACCATTTAGATTCAGAAGTAATGAACAGCATTATTTACAGTCTCTCAGTAAAGCAGAGAAGACATTTGTGAAACTTCCTCTAACCTTCCTCAAACTATCTGAACATGTTACCTCACATTATACTCACTGGCACTGTTTAAATCTTCACCAGCTTGGAAACACTACATTTCCTGGGAAATTATTTTCTTCATAAGAAATTTTCAGAATTTAACATGCCAATAACAAGATATTTGTCTTTTCAAGATTTGAATGTGATAGAATGTGCATATTCACTAGTTTTCAAAATTCTGGGGTCAGTGAGATACATATTTTAAAGAAATTAATATTTTTATTCAGCAAGGATGTATTCAATTGGTCAAAAGTGACAGTAAAGGCATTTCTAATGTTACAAAAGGTTTCTATTTAAATGCTGCTTGTTTGTTTGTTTTGTTTTGTTTACTTTATATTCATCAAAAAATCACGGATCACAGTTTTTACAAACATTTTATGCATGCAACTCTTTTTAAAATAATAGCTATAAGAAGAAAAAATCTTGAGGGCCAAATCAGAATAATTTCTAAAGGATCACGTGATACTGAAGACTGAAAATTAAACTTTGCCATCACAGGAATAAATGACATTTTACAGTATATTCAAATAGAAAAAAATATTTTAAATTGTAATAATATTTTACAATATTACTGTTTTTATTGTGTTTTTGATTAAATATCACAGACCCCAAAATTTTGTACTGTAGTGTATGTGATATGAAGAAATCTATTTGCTTACTATTATCCTGCGTAACCAAAAAAAAGCTCAGTTTCAGCTGAGCTTTTGTGTCTCTATGTATAGTCATTCAGTCTGTGCTCATCTTCTCCATTAGGAAGACATTTGGATCAGCTGTCTCACACAATTCAGACTACAAACTCTTCTGAACACACACATTACAGTACATTGGTTATTCCAGATAAACAGTGATTGGTGTAAATAGCATTAAAACACCCAAAGCAGCACAGACACCAGAAGCCAACTGCTATGAACACTGAGTTCAAAACCAGTATGAAATACTGTATTTTTGTATTCAGACATTTTTTCACCACCCAGTGTTTGTTGCAGTTGGCCCAGCGAGGCAAATTATAGTTTAAGAAGAAACTCGGCATCTTCAGCAAGATTCACATATGCACTGATATCCAGCATTGAGTCATATAGCATTTTTACAGCATGAATTTCAAGTGAAACAATACACCAATAAACAATCAATCTTCATTTCCTCCCACAGATATGTATATCTAAAATGAACTGAGGCTGGAGGAATTTACAATACAGATAAAGCAAAGATTTCATTGTGTAAATGCTACTTTATGTTTCATAGGAAGTATCTAACACTCTGTCTTAACCAGGCACAACCAAAGTGTCTGTCCATTAAAATGTGACACAATCAGCCAATCAGAGGCGGTGTTGTAATTAAGTAAAACTAAAACTATTAAAAATACTTTTCATTCATTGAAATTAAGCTAAAATAAAACACAATATAAAAGTTAGATGAGAAACTTCAATTTAAATAAAAGTTAGAAATGTCACCTTGACAAATAAAAAAAGGTTTAAAGTACTAAAGAGTTTGAAGTACTAAAATTGCTAAAACTGGAATAAAAATAAAGCTAAAATTAAAATATAAAAAATAGCTCATTTAAAATATTAATAATTACTACAATAGTATATAAATACTAAAATAACACTGATCAGAGCATAGGATGTCTAAAGTACAGTTTTGGGTGGAGCCTAATTTTGGACTAGAAATAAAAACTAATCGACAAAATGTTGTATTGTGGCTACTGCTGGTTAGCACAAAAACACTTGTCAGTTTATTGCATTATGCCTGGTTATGACACAATGTGTGATCTAATTTCTATGACAACGATGCTGCACTTCTGCAAAAGCTTATTTATGCATTGATTTATGTGACTGACTATTATGACTTTAAACACTGAAGTAGCATGTCAAGTCTATGGCCAGGAACAAAAAACGGCAACATTCATTTGCTGAATGATAAACTATAGTTAAGTTCAAATATCTGCATATGTGTATCAAACCACTAATGTATGTGTGACAAAACCAAAGAAAGAGGCTCAGTCTTCCTTTCACACACCTATTGCCTTAAACTCTATTGCACTTCATTTTTTAAATATATCTCTATTCCAGAACTTTAATCGATTCTCAACTCCCCACTAGTCAAACTTCTTGACACCAAGGATGTCGTGTTTATGACTTTCTTTCCCTCAGATAAGCACAGCTTAAGTTCACATGGAACCTAATATCATCTGAAAGCAATATGCATATGTTTCTGTAATACTAAAGGATAATAGTTATGGTGGAGAAAAGAAAATCTTTAAATATCTTTTTATAGCTAATCTGGAAGACAAAAGTGATATCACAATTAATCTCCATGGCCAAAAGTATGTGAACACACACCAACCCCACATACATTTGTTAAGATTTTTTTTTTTTTAAACCAAGGCCATTAACCTTAAAATGTCTAAGGAGGCTGTATGGCTGTATAGTTGATTTTCTGCACCTGTTAGTTAAGGATGTAGCTGAAACAGCCAATTTCATTCAATAGAAATGTGTCTACATACTTTCAGCCGTGCAGAGCATTTAATACAAGCCTAATACTCACACCTCTCCATCTTTGTTTACTCATTTTCTCTGCTATACAGTGAAAATACTCTCCTTGAAGTGCCAGAGGATCCAAGCAACTAGATTATTTTACAGGTCCAACCCCGTGAGGATACACACACTGTATGTGGGTAATGCCATGCTTTCTCTCGGCTACTAAAGAAGGCTATAAGAATCTATATAAAGAGATCCATCAGTTCACATTCTGTCATGTTTGCTTAGGAAAGCCATATATCCCGCCTGGAGGTGTGCGTTGTGGTGTTTGACAGGTTCTATATGTGTTGAGGTCGTATTGCTGCCAATAGACTGTGCAAAAAATAGCTTAGCAAGAACTCACTGTCCTTCTAGTGTCCTCTACTAACACTCAGCAGGCGAACGCATTCTTTTTGAGTATCTGCTTTAGGCCGACATTCATTGTAATTTAATGACATTCAACCCTGAAAAACATAATCGCACTATCCAGCCTGCATCACAACTCTCCTCTTACACAGAAGATGATGGAATCTAAGAAGCCTAAGCAACAACAAAACAAAAAAATGATATTCTCGTCACTTTAGTCAAAGTGCCTGTCCCATCAGACACCAGCAGCTCTGCATGAAAAATCCTTGATGGAGGTAAAATGTGTTTTTGTCTTTGTGTTTTTCTTTTTTACAAAAACTGTATTGTACAGTGTCTCTATGAGTAAATACATCATAGTACAGAATTGCTTTGTTTTGGAGAATACAATATAATTTATCTTTCTCCAATCGTCCCAAGTGCTTAAAGGGAAAATTCATCCAAAAATAACAATTATGTCATCATGTCGTTCCAAACCTGTATGAATTTCTTTCTTCTGTGGAACATAGAAGAAGATATTTTGAAGAGCTGTTTTTGGGACATTTCTCCAAATACCTTTTGTGTTCCACAAAAATCATAAGGGATAAAATAACATGAGGGTGAGTGATGACAGAATTTGAATTTTTAGGTTAACTATCCCTTTAATTTCAAATATCCAATTAAAAAAAATCACTTTAGCTGGAGAGTGTCTCATATCTCGCTTACGCTCACACACACACACACACACACACACACACAAATCTCACAATCACAGACCAAGTTTATTGCCCGTACTAAACTTTGTTCATGTATGGGCACAAAAGTGGACACCTCTTCTATTAAATGGCATCACACATGTGTCTGTGTACGCTGACGGTTGGGGAATCATGTCTTGTTCATAAGTTTGGCCAGCATTTGCTGTATGTGTAGGCGTGGGAGGTTTAGTACTGAATGCCGGGCTCTGGGGTTGCCTGGCATAAGGGGCATGTGTCTGCGATGGGCGTGGCGGTGGGCGGGGCTGCTTTCAGCCGAGCGGCTGCGCTGAATGGCCGCTCCCCCGAGGGCGGGGTCATGGGGGAAGTGCTCCGTGTCCATGGTAGCGGAGGAAAACACGTACGACGCCAGTCTTCTCAAATGGGCGGGCCTCGGGAATGAGTGATGTGGGTGTGGCCTGTCCTCCTCCAACTGAAAAAGACCAATAAGAGCGGAGGATCAGAGGAATCAGGCTGAGAAAAAACTTAAACGCGAAGTATTGAAAAAAGCGTGTTTTTTTTGTCTAAGATTGTGTGTGATGCACACACAAAAACACACCAATAAAAAACAAGATAAACGAAACATTATATCAAATGGGTGGTACAAACACTTTGATGTGCTGTAACTCTTTCAGAGGACAAGACCAGCCCACATCTGTCTGAACGCTAAAGACAGGCTTGTTTAAGCTTACGTACGGGTGAATGTATGCTTTAGATGTTGTGAAGGAGCCAAAGTGTGCACACAGACCCCTGTATGACCAATGAGCAAACTAAGCTTGGCTGTGAATTGAGCGTGGCGCGCACACACAAACACACACACAACCAGAGAACCCTAAAACATGCAGCTCAACACAAATGCACAAGATTAAATAACACACATACCGTACATCAAGGGTGTACACAAAGACTCACATACAAACAACATATGCTAATTATCTCGCAGTACAAGTTATCAGAGGCTTATATGTGCCTTTCTTGTACTGGTGATGTCATTATGTAAAAAATATTCAGCAGCTAAGAACAAATGCTAGTAGTATATCATAACACTACAGCCTTAACACAACCTAAACACACACAGAGATAATAAAGCACCTAGCACATAGTGATTTTCAAGATGCCAGAAACTTCTTAACAGAATCTTAATGCATTAGGTATCATAAACAACAATACTCTTACTGTTTATTAATCTAGCTTTTGTTCATTGCTAATTTTTGTTCCTTCATAATACATTAACAAATACAACTTGAAATGCAAAAAAAATTTACACTACCGTTCAAAAGTTTGAGGTCTTTTTTTGGGGGGAAATAAATTAATTATTTTATTCAGCGATTTGTTATTTCTTCAGCACTAAATCGCCATATTAGAATGATTTCTAAAGGATCATGTGACGCTGAAGTAAGTAAGCAAGCTGAGTAATGGCTGTTGAAAATTCAGCTTTGCATAACAAGAATAAATTACATTTTAAAATAATATAAGAGAAAACAGATAAAAACAGTTGTAATATTACTGGTTTTACTTTTCAAACCTTTGAACTGTAGTATATGTACAAATTAACATTAAACTTGATTAATAAATTCTGAACCTAATGCATTTAATAATGTCAATCCTTATTGGAAAGTCTATCATTAAAACCAATCATTTTTGCCTGGAAATTCTGTTACACCAGAAAATGTAATCTATGTGTTTATTCACACAGATGAAAAAAAAAACAGAAAAAAAAAAAACTGTAAACTGTTAATCTGTGTTTGTTATTAATAACTTATTATTTTTATTTATATATTTTTTTATTCTAAAAAGGCCTAAATAATAAGAAATAAAAAAATAGATTTGCTCTTCCTTTGAAATGGCAATCTTTGTATCTAGTTTATCTAGTTTTTCCACTCAGATATGTCACATTACAGAACTAAAATGAATTGCCTACTAAAATTCACACTGACTTTGATAATAACAATGGACTTGCAGACCACTGGTGTGTGATAATGTGATAAAATGCAATAAATTATATTTCAAAATAGACTTTAAGAAATCTGTTATGATTTTAGCTAAAGATCATCAAACATATTAAGTGATCAGGATAACCCATACACACGTCCACACATACACACTCAGGTGTGCCTTACCGGTCCATCAGGTCCGAACGGCTCTGACTCCCTCCTTCTTGGGCAGGTATGAGGCAACGAGTGACAAGGTGAATGGGCAGGGCTCGGTCCCGCCCCCTCCTCCTCTGCTACAATCATCATCCCACGTTGTGTTTTGGGTCGTACCACAGCCTCAGCTCCACCCATCCCGTGCATATGTCCTCTCCTTCTCCTCTCCTCGTGATCCTCAAGGGGGCGTAATTCCTCTGGTTCCTCATCCGTGGTGCCTGAGGTTGTGGGCTCTGCCCCAGGATGGAAGTCTTTCAACTCTGTTTCTTTATCAATCATCACCCACTCCCTGCTGTCAAAGTCCTCCTCCTCTGCCAGCGGGACTGAGCGGATGAAGGCATTGCTGTGGGCTTCCTGGTCGCCATCTGCAGAGACATCATGGTGGCCACCGGCCAGTCGTTCTCCCTGCCCAGCTTCTAAAGAGAGCATTTGAGCAGGCTGGGAAGAGTAGATGTGCCTGGATGGAGAACCCAGCATGTCCAAACGAGAGCTGCCACAAAACACACAAAGGCTAAGACACAGAATCAACTGGACAACAACACATTTAACAACAGACTTTAAATTGTAGGAACATTACCCTTCAAAAGTATGGGGTCAGTACATTCTTTAAATATGTATATTTTTGTTCATCAAGGATGATTAAATCAAAAGTGACAGTAAAAACATTTATAATGTTACAAAAAAATTATATATCAAATAAATGCCGTTCTGAAAAATATTAAGCAGCACAACTGTCTTCAACATTGATAACAATAAGAAACGTTTCTTGAGCACCAAATCTGCATATTAAAATGATTTCTGAAGAATCATGTGACAAATGTTTTTATTTTTTTATTTAATAATTAGTTTAGAAATGAATAAATATGGTCATTGTTTATTATATTAAATATTGAAATTTTTTAATACTTATAAATACTTCATAACTTTACTATAACTATAATTACTTCATTAATTTATAATTACTAATAATCCCAGTCTGATTAATAGTCATATGAGATAATTTAATAATTATTTAATTAATTAAAGATTAGACAATCATAAATTTCAACAAAAAGGGTTACGTCAAGATCATGCAACATTACGTCCAACAAAAACTGTTTTAGTCTTTAATTTTAATCTGTTCCGAAAATAAAATGTTTCTTTAACATGCCAAGCCGTTTTGATCATAAAAAAATGTTACCACACTAAGAACAGTATGCACTTTCCTTTCATTAAATTCACAGAAGCCATCCAAAATGCCAGATCAAAATGCTGTAGTACAAAACAGAAACTTATCAGAAGCCACTTTTGCATGCTTTCCTCACTAACAAGACACATGCGGTCAAATGACCTTTAGAAAAGATAAATGTCAGCCAGAAGTACAGAGCGATACATTTTCAAGCACACGCTCTCCTCACCGTTTATCTGCGGCATCTCCTCTATCCTCTGCAGCAGACAGGCGGTCAGATTCTGGGCTGTTCACTCTCCGGTACCTTGGAGGGCGGGCCTGAGCGTCTGCTTCTCCCCCCCTCGCCGGGGAAACAGACCTCCCTCCTCCTGCAGGCTCCTCCCCATCCTCTGCTGCTACTTGCGTCTGAGAAGACCAGCAGTATTAAACACTCAACTGATCAAAAATCATGTTTTTATACTAATTAGACATAAAAATTTCTGTGAATAATTAATAATTTGGCATAATATATAAAAAATAATACCTTACTGATGCTGATCCTGAGTTTGTTACGGTTGAAGTCAGTTTCATCCCACCCTTCACCAGGAGGTGGGGCTGAAGCAGGTTCGCTAGGCCTGCTGGGCATCAAAGCAGGCGGAGCGTTCTCTTGGTCACTCAGGTGTTCATCTTGCAGAACATCATCAGTGTTTTCCCTTGGTAATTCACCAGGTACCGGTGTCACATTCACCATCCTGAGAGAGACAATTCAAAGCCAAATCAGAATCACATGAGTCTTTTCAAAGTCACTGCAGAGTCCAGAATCCCACCCCACTGTGCAAATGGGTCTGATACTGTTGTAAGAGCATGTGTACATATTCTTACCCCACAATGGCAGCAGTTTGCCGTGTGTTTTGTTGTGGTGGCGTGTGTGTGCTGGTGGGGAGGGCCGTATCTGTTCCAGATTTTTCCCAGTCATAAGGCTCGGTTTCTGTTATCACCCTCTCTTTCATGCTGTTCTCAAATACTGACATTAGCAACTAGACCAGAGAAAGGAAGAAGTAAATACATTTTTCACTCAAAATAGTTGCATAAAAAAATTATTTATATATAAAGTTCAAAAGTTCATGGTCTGTTTAATTTTTTAATGTTTCTAAAAGTCTTTTATGCACAACAAGGTTTCATTTATTTGATTATAAGACAGTAAAAACAGTGATATTGTGACATAATTGCAATTTAAAATAGCTGTTTTCTGTTTTATTATATTGTAAAACAGCATTTATTTGAAATAAAACTTTTTTATAATATTAAACATGTCTTTGTCACTTTTGATTAAGTTAATTCATTCTTGTTGAAAAATGAATGGTTTACCTGATAATCAGGTTTGGTGTAGTAATCTAAATCCAGCACATGGTCATAGAAGATATGAAACTCACTGTCCCAATAAAGGCAGAAAATGCCCATAAATATAACTTTTAAAAAATTGTTCTTAATGTAGCTAATTCTGACCAAGAATCACTCACTTAAAGGTCCCATGGCATGAAAATTCCACTTTATGAGGTTTTTTAACATTAATAAGTTCCCCTAGCCTGCCTATGGTCCCCCAGTGGCTAGAAATGGCGATAGGTGTAAACCGAGCCCTGGGTATCCTGCTTTGCCTTTGAGAAAATGAAAGCTCAGATGGCCCAATCTGGAATCTTCCCTTTATGTCGTCATACGGGGAAAGGTTACCTCCCCTTTCTCTGCTTTGCCCGCCCAGAGAATTTGGCCCGCCCATGAGAAAATGAGCTACTACAGTGCCAGGCGAGTGCAATATTTTTTTTTTCCTCGAGAGACATCATGGCTTGCAAATGAGCGAAGCATGGCAGTTGCCCCGCCTCTCTCCTCCTCATTAGCATTTAAAGCTACAGACACAGAAATGGCACGTCCTAAGGAAAGCTCATTGTGGGACTGGCTCGTAGTGGCTGAAATTCTGCACCAAGGCTGAATTTCGGGAAAGAGACTTCAGATACAGTACTAGGGACCACTTAGGCCTATATAAAAGCATCCAAAAAGCAGCATGTCATGGGACCTTTAAGATTCATTAAAGCCAATAAATCAGATTCAAACTGGCAAATGCAGCAAGCGCTCACCAAATTTTGCGCGTAATACGCTATAGACAGTCAGTGAATGGATTGCGTGCAGTCTGTGGCCGTCCTCTTTGAAACTTACCTTGTTTTTATGAGCATTAATGGAAGCATAGCGTACTGTCCCTCTGAACCCAGCCACCGACCTGGGCTAAAGCAGAACATTTAAAAGAGACTCATAATAAGAATTCATATCACTTTCATTTTAGACTTTAAAGGGGTCATATGATGCTTTTTTAAAGATCATTATTTTGTGTATTTGGTGTAACAGAATATGCTGACATGCTTTAATGTTCAAAAAACGGGCATAGAGGAGAAACAATAATGTACAGTATGTGGAAAATAATGTGTTTTTTTAACTTTAAACCGCATAAACACATTTCATTACACCAAATACACAAAATAATGTTCTTTTTAGCAGCATCATATGACCCCTTTAACTTTGATAAAGAATATCTCTTTGGTTTTGAGACTTTAGTCTTTGCAACTTCAGGGATCTTATCTATGCACAATCAGCTTGTAACACTCCAAAGAGAAAGGAAAACTTGAAATCGCATCATATGACCCCTTTAACTCTTAGGTTGGAATAAGTAAACACATAATCAAAACAAAGCAAACATGAGAGGGAAATATAAGGGACGGTGGAGCGACAGGAATTCGCTATATAATATCTCAACAAGACCAGATGAAACTTCTAAATTATCTAAGCTAACAGAGTGTGTTAAAAATGTAAAAGATTGGATGACCAATAATTTTCTCCTATTGAATTCGGATAAGACAGAGATATTACTTATTGGACCAAAAAACAGTACACAGAATCTCTTGGATTACAATTTGCAACTAGACGGATGCACTGTTACTTCCTCTACAGTCAAAAATCCGGGTGTTATATTAGATAGCAACTTGTCTTTCGAAAATCATATTTCCCATGTTACAAAAACAGCATTCTTCCATCTTAGAAACATTGCCAAGCTAAGAAACATGTTACCGGTTTCTGATGCAGAAAAGCTAGTTCATGCATTCATGACCTCTAGACTAGACTATTGTAATGCACTGCTAGCTGGTTGTCCTGCATCTTCAATAAACAAGCTACAGGTAGTCCAAAATGCAGCGGCTAGAGTCCTTACCAGGTCAAGAAAATATGATCATATTACCCCAATTTTACAGTCTCTGCACTGGCTACCTATTAAGTTCCGTATCAGTTACAAAATAGTATTACTTGCCTATAAGGCCCTTAATGGGTTAGCTCCTGCGTACCTAAATAGTCTTCTACCACGCTACAATCCATCACGCTCCCTAAGGTCGCAAAACTCTGGACTTTTGGTAGTACCTAGGATAGCAAAGTCCACTAAAGGAGGTAGAGCTTTTTCGCATTTGGCTCCCAAACTCTGGAATAGCCTTCCTGATAACGTTCGGGGTTCAGACACACTCTCTCTGTTTAAATCTAGATTAAAGACACATCTCTTTGGCCAAGCATTCAAATAATGCATATCATAATCTTGTACTGCAGTTATATCTGATCAAATGCACATTATTATTCCTTAGCTTGGGTTAAACAAATTAATTTTACTTGGTTGGAACAGCAGCTACGCTAATTATGTCCCTATTTGTTTCTCTGTTTTTGCCACGGGATGTAACTAGGATTTACACAAGCTTCAGTCTGGATCCAGAACACCTGAGAAGAGATGATGCCAACCCCTCAGAGGACCTCAGATGATGCCAACCCTGAAACAACCCACCAGATCCAGTCTGTATCCAGATCAGATGGTCACTGCAGTCACCCGGATCCAGTACGTATTCAGACCAGATGGTGGATCAGCACCTAGAGAGGACCTCTACAGCCCTGAAAGACAGCGGAGACCAGGACAACTAGATGAACACCAGATACAGATGTTATTCCCCTGTAAAGACCTTGTCTCAGACGACCACCGGGACAAGACCACAGGAACCAGATGAGTCTTCTGCACAATGTGACTTTGCTGCAGCCTGAAATTGAACTGCTGGTTTGGTCTGGCCAGAGGAGAACTGGCCCCCCGACTGAGCCTGGTTTCTCCCAAGGTTTTTTCTCCATTCTGTCACCGATGGAGTTTTGGTTCCTTGCCGCTGTCGCCTCTGGCTTGCTTAGTTGGGGACACTTCATTTCCAGCGATATTGTTGACTTGATTGCAAATGATTGCAAAGATACTATTTAAACTGAACTGAGCTGAATGAAGACATCACTGAATTCAATGATGAACTGTCTTTAACTGAAAAATTAGTGTTTACTATTGTCATTTTGCATTATTGACACACTATTTTCCTAATTAATGCTGTTCAGTTGCTTTGACACAATCTGTATTGTTAAAAGCGCTATATAAATAAAGGTGACTTGACTTGACTTGACCATG